GTTTAGCAATGTGTAATATGGTTTTTTTTAACAATAGCTGATATTTCCTTAAGGAGAAACTTGCCTTTAAATATTGTTTTCCAGATCGGTCATAATGGACGGAATGCTAAAAAAAATTGGAAATTCAAGTTAGTTTAATTTCAAAAGATAGATGAAAATAAAAATTGTATTAAGTTATTGTGATTATTTTAATGAATAAAATCCACTTTCTTTTGGTTTCTGATAATTCTTCAATGGCGAGATATTCGAATCTTGCTATTTTTTTTTCTACGTTCCGTTTCTTTAGTGAGTCATTGTATATCCGAAAATGATTGTTGGCTCGAATCGGAAGCTTCAGATTGATTTGCATCCTCGATAGGCTCAATTCTTATCTCTGGAGAAATGTCACTTCATGCCTGGACAACGGCATAATATCGATTTGGAGCATTAAGATACCTCCATTGATTATTTCGAATTCAGTTGCAACTCTACCAAAATTATTATAGTAGGTTTGAAGGACTTGTTCGATTTCATCGAGTCTCCCAGTAGAAGTATTAATTAATGTCAAGATTCTTTGGATCTCTGCTACAAATTCTTCATCACGATTAGCGAATTCAGTAGTGAGTCAGGCATCGCTCATGGCAGGGTTTTCATTCATCAGTTACAATTTCTGCTCTATATGTCTGAAGCTCTTCATCATCATATTTTCGACCGGTGAACCAATCAAACCCTAACATGATATGATTGGGAAATTCGGGTTGATGTTTTACGATTAATACCTGGGTTGGAATTGTGATAGATGTATATCGTTCGCTGAATCGACTACGTTCTACACTTGAAGTAAAGATAAGTGAAATCACGGTCCATCCAATCGGATGTGTAGTCATCTCCCTAAAAAATCTACTATCTTTATCTTCAGAACTTATTCGTCTGGTGATTTTCCCACCAATATGCTTGAGAAATTTATCACAACACATCGATGGACTGAGAAATCCTTGTTCGAGGCAACAATTCACTTTTTGCGTTCCTATCTTAGCTTTAACTATCTTCACTTTCATGATAATATTTTATATTATGTATTATATATCTTTAGCCGAAAAAATAACTAATAATTAATTACCCATTCTTTACTAATAAATGGAATTATTTATAATCCGCATTGGAGGATTCTCTCTAAGATAATTACTAATTGCAGAAATAAAATCTGTTTCATCTGATGAATGACTCAAAGAGTAGTCTCTAAAGAACCTGGTTATAGCTATTCCATTTTGTTGATTGGTAAAGATTAGAATAAGTGGAGGTAAATCAGAATCGGAGAATTCATCATCTGAATAATCTGGATGTTTGATTTTAATTTTTGAATTAAGTTTTTTCATCACTTTATTACTAATCCTTCAAATTAAGATATTTCAAATTAGTATAACTATCAGCTATCTTCTTGATAGCTTCATTACCAATCAAGCAATTACCAAGCTTAAGATATCTAAGTTTTGAGCATGAGTGAGTAATTTTAGTAATATACTGATTAATGAGATATATACATGAATTAAGACTCAAATATTGTAGTTTTGAAGAAAATCTTGCAATTTTTATAATTGATATATTAGTAAAACTCTTACTTTTATCAAGAATAAGAAAGTATATATCTGGATATGAATGTAGAATTATACTGATTAAAGTATCTGAGATTCTTAAATCTTTTAATCTGAGATATATCATCTTTGAATAATAGAATAATTTTATTTTTCTATATATAACTCTTTTTAAAGCTTATCAATTGCTGAGTAAGAATTCAAAATATATTTAGAATATGCAATTTTGCTAATAATCTTTATTAAAAAACTTAATGTGATGTTATAGAATTAAAGTATTATAATGATATTAAAGATAGTTAATAAATAAAGAAGAATAGAAAGATTAATTAATTTCTAAAAAATATAAAATCTATTCTAATAATTCTGATAAATCAAAAATATTTAGTTATATTATTCTCAAATAATATATTATTATATATATTTAATTAAAAAATAATTAATATTCAGACAAATATATTACATATTTTCTGAATATTCTCAATTATACTTAATTTTGCAACTAGTTTCATCAAGTAATATAAGAGTTTTATTTAAGAAGTTTATCTTTATTATATTTTTCTAAAATTATAACTGATCTAATATCAGTACAGATTCAAGTTCAGATTTATTAGTAACAAAAATATTAGTAACTTTTACTTGTTTTAATTCATTATCTTTGAATTAAAAAGAGAAATTTATTTCATAAAGCATTCCTATTATTGATAATCTATCTTCTGTAGTTAATATATATAATAATTTTTCAGATTTTATATAAGTATCATCAATTTTTAAATTTAACTCATCTATTAAGCACTCACTTATAATATTATAATTAGTATCAGAATCTAATATAGCTATAATTAGTATTTTGTTAATTTTACAGGATAAAGTTATTATTATAATACTTTATTATAATTATATATTTAATAATATATTTTTTATTTCATATTAATAAATAATAATTTAATTATTATAATAACTAAAGCTAATAAAGTCATATCTTATATCATTAAATAGATATCAGATAAAAAAATTTGAATTTCTCTTTATCAATTACTTATATTTACTTTTAACTTGTTTTTCTATATAAATTTTATTAAAATATATTATATAACAAAAAAATTATAATTTTAATAGCAATAAAAAAAATTGAAAATAATAAAATCTGAGATCTGACAAGAAATTATTAACTTGATAATAAATCTAAATATTTCTAAAAAATAATATGATATATTTATAAACTTGAAGAATTATAATTCTTTAAATTGCTTAATGATCTGCTTTATAATAAAAAAAAGCTATTCACAATTATTTCTTAGATAAGAATAAAAATAAATTCTGGATGAAATCTGAATTTGATAAATCTAATATTAAGATTAATGAATATATATCAAAAGTAAAGAAGTAGAATTAATAAATATATAAGTCAATAATATTTTCAATTTTAACTTTATCATTTTCTTGTTTAAATACTGAAGATATAATTACTATATAATTATTCTTGATATTTTTATATATAGATTCATATCCAATAGCTCTATAAGATATACAAGTATAATACTTTACTGATGATATATATTTTAAATTATATTTTAAAGCTTTTTATATAATAATAAATCTTTAATCAGAATTTTCAGATTCATATATCATAGTAATATAATTTATATCTAATTTATATAAATTACTTAACTTAATATCATAAGACTTTAGAAATAAATTAAATCATTTTATATTTAGTATTTCAGAATTCTATAAAGTATTATTTATAATTACTTTTTAAATCTAAGTAAGTAATTTGCAAGTTTATTTTTTATTTTTTTTCATTAAATAAAATTTTCTAGATTTATTTTTATCTATTTTATAATCTTTAATATATCTTATCATATATTTATTAGTAATATAAAGAGTTATAACTTCAATAGAATGTATACTGTTACCTTTTTGGTGTGAATTCTGAGATGAGAGTGAGTATTAAATCTAATATTACAAAAACACATGATAGAAGTGATCACATATTTAAAGTAATATTTTGAGAGAGTCTTTAAAAGGTTTATTAACAAGAATATTTTTACTATTATTTCAAAGTTAATCTAAAGATAGATAATGATAATGTTCTTATTATAACTAGCTAGAATGTAGTCTAATTTCAATATGTAATTTCAAGACAAATGTAATGTTCAGTTTATTAACAAGATGAATTAATAGATCTTAATCAAGATCTATTTTACAAGAGAGATTCCTTAGAATTCTCTTAAAACTATAATCTACTA